TTGAAGAAAATCATGCGAATCATAGCCATAAATAATTTAATTTAGAAAATTACTTTGACAGCATTGGTAAGAAAACTATGCGAATCATAACGTAAACAATTTAACTTGTTAAATTACAGTCAAGGTTTGAAATTCTTCCTAGTTCAGGCTAAGCCTTCTTCCTAATGTATCCCACATGTGCTCAATGGGGTTGAGATTCGGACTATTTGGCGGCGAGTCTAGTACTTGAATTCCAACATCGTTGAGGTATTTCCTAGTCATTCTGGCTATACGCGGCTGAACATTATCTTGCATTGGGAGAAAATTGTCTCCTATAAAGGGCATATGACGAACCGCATGTTCTTCCAAACACTATATAAATACCACGCCACACCATCACCCCTCCACATCCAAATTGCACTCTAGGAGCGAAACATTTTTGTTGAATATTGCTTGACAAGAATCCTTTTGACATGCCATAAAAATGCTAACTGACACAGCCTACTTGAAGCAATTTCTTACCCGGCAAAGCCCGCCAATTTCTTTTTTATGGCAATGATTCGCATGATTTTCTTCAAAACAGCATATATTTTTCAATAATTGAGATTTACTGTCCAGACCGTCGGACTGTATTCATCGCACCGATTAGCGGGTCGATGGTAGTGCCTCTTTATTAGGAAAAAAGATCGGAAATTTCATTGTGGCTATATCTGACGTAGTGCTATGGTTAGTGCATGCGGTGCAGTATCTTGATTGGTAAAAATTTGCCTCAATTACTGATTTACGTCGTAGTGTTCTTACTTATAGTGGTCATAAGTACCATTTTTCTGTATTGTTATCAGTTGCCTGCTAGAAAAACCTGTGAATTTGTGGTATTTTGTTGCAATTTTTGCATATAGTTCAGGCAATTAGGTCCATGCTAGAGTCATGGCACCTGATGTGGATGTATGCATAGTATGTAGTGATAACTTTATAGTGTGCACAATAGTAAAGTGTGGCCTTTGCAAGTTTAAATTCCATACGTCATGCGTATCTGTGAGAGACAGCTGGTTAAAAATCTTTTCAGAATGCGAAAATATATTTTGGCTTTGCGAAGATTGTAAATGCTCCTTGCAGTCAGTCAGTAATGAGACAAAAACTGACATAACATTATTGAGAAAAGAGTTGGAAAGTGTCAATCGAGAATTGGATTCAACTAAAAAACTTTTAACTAATCTCGAATACACTGTACAGTTGCAAAAATCCCTGCTGAAGTCGTACGAAGAACGTGAACCTGCAAAATCTCAAGCATGTGGTAGTAGCCAGGTCAATGTACATCAACCTGGTCTTCTTTTTAGTGATATAGTAAAACAGAAGAATAGGGATAACTCATCTGTTCTTTTGGTTGAATCTGTTGGTAGCAACACCTCCGACACAAGTAGAGTGTTAGATGACATAAAATCATCTGTCAATTTGGCCAGCATGACTATATGTGTAAATAATACACGTAAAATCCGTAACGGTGTGGCGGTTCATTATAAAGACGATGCATCTTTGAACTCATTGAAAACTATTCTTGATGCAAAGTTGGCATCTAAATATACAATATCTGAGGCCAAGAAATTAAATCCAAGGTTAATAATAAAGAATGTTAATTTGGATGGTATTGATTCGCCAGATGATATTATAACGAATATAGCTATCCTGAATAATTTAACTGTTACGCAAAAATCTCAGATTGAATTTGTCACTAAACTTAGACTTAAGAGCGGAACTAGTGTTGTCATTGAAGTGACACCCCTGTTACAAATAGGTTCGTTGTTCATTGGTTGGAAAAAGTGTTTCATTTCTGACCATTTGCGCTTGATGAAATGTTACAAATGTTGTTCATTTGGCCATACTGAAGCTGCTTGCAAATCAGAGCTTGCATGTCCTAGATGCTGCAGAAAACACAAACTGAAAGAGTGCAAGTCGGAGGCGCTACAATGCATCAACTGTGTTAATCATAACAAGTCACATCAAAAGAGCTTGCCCACAGATCATTCTGCTAACTTTCCTGGATGTCCTGTGTACCAAGGTTATGTTGACAATTTGAAGCAGCGCGTGGACTATGGGAAGTAATAAAAATGATATTTTAAAAATTTGCCATATAAATGTTCGATCACTTACAGCTTCTTTTAATGAGTTTTCTTTGCTGGTAAAAAAATTGGACAGCGTATAAACAGTTAAGAAATTATTCACTTGCTTCAATCCGGCGTGAGAAAAAGGCATATTTATCTCGCTTTGATAATCTCAATTCTAGAAAAGCTTGGGATCAGCTGAGAGCAATGAATATTTGTCCCCAGAAACACATTGAAATACCCTACGATCTGTTAGACCCTAATGAAGTCAATAACCACTTCATGTTAAATTACCAAAATCTTAATATCAATTCCTGTTTGATTGACAGTACAGTAGAGTTTTATGAGAACAGCTTTAACAGCCAAGATGTAACTCCATTTACATTTAGAATGATGACCGCTGAAGAAATTTTGGACATAGTTACCTCTATCAAGTCACCTGCTACAGGGAGTGATGAAATTAATTTGAACATGCTAGGATACTGCTTACCAGAAATTTTATTGTATTTAACACATATTGTTAATATATGCCTTGAGACCGGGACTTTTCCTGAGGCTTGGAAGGAAGCTATTATCATCCCTTTAGCCAAAGTCAAAAATCCAACCACTCATAATCATTTGCGGCCTGTTAGTTTGCTGTGCTTTTGTTCGAAGGTATTAGAGAAAGCAGTGTACATTCAACTAGTGGAATATTTAGAGCAAAATAACTTGTTTTCTCCTCATCAATCAGGATTTCGTGCGGGACATAGCACTACTTCAGCTTTGCTCCATCTAACTGACAACATCGTAGGTAACTTAGACAGACATATTAATACCATATTAGTGATGATTGATTTCTCAAAAGCCTTTGATACAGTTAATCACAAAATCATGTTGAGCAAGCTGAAGTACATTGGATTATCTGATATACCGCTAAGATTTTTCCAAAGCTACTTGGCAGAAAGAAAACGGTTAGGGGCGTCTCTTCTAGTACTGTGGTTTCGTCTGGCGTTCCGCAGGGGTCAGTTCTGGGACCCCTGCTATATTTAATTTACACTATAGACTTAGATTCATGTGTGGAATTTTGTTCTATATAAACGTATGCTGATGACGCACAATTATCATTTCACTTTACATATGCTCAGTTAAATGAAGTGTCGTTTAAAATTAATACTGACCTAATCAATATTACGGATTTTTGTAAAAAGCGCTGTCTCAGGATCAATCCTGAAAAGAGTTCAAGTATGCTTTTTTCTCCGAAACACATGTATAATAACATAAAGGTCGCAATTGTACTCATTATAAATAACGAGCGCATCCCCATGGTAGAACATTCTAAAAACCTGGGTGTTATCTTGGACTCTAACTTGAAGTTTGATAGACACATCGGTTACCTGTCTCAAAAAACATATGCCAAATTAAAACTTTTATATTCCAACCGTTTCATTTTAAACTTTAAGACTAGGAAAAAATTAGTTGAAAGCTTGATCCTGTCATCTTTGCAACATTCTCTGATTTTATTCTATTCTTATTTGGATTCGTCGGATCGGTATAGGTTACAAAAAATTCAAAACGGCTGCTGCAGGTTTGTGTTTGGAATTCGTAAATATAGTCATGTATCTTCGAAGATTAAAGATTTACCACCGTACATTTCAGAAAAGCTAGTACCAAGACGTAACATTATTCAGAGAAATCTCAGACACAACCTAAATTTTGCGATGCCAGTCCACTATACAGCCCTTTTCCAGAAAAGCTTCAAATTTCATGCTGTCAAGTTATACAACTCTACAGATAAAATATGTCACAGTAAAACAATAGTGCCTTTCAGGAGACTCGTTAAGAAACAGCTGATGGGATATTAATAGTTCAAGTGTGCATTTGCTTCTTTTTCTTATTATTGCTATTGTTTGTTTGTGTATCGAGTTTAACTGTGTTACTCTTTCGTACACAGTGAGGTTAAGTGTAAGAGTAGCCATTTGGCTAAACTTCGCCTCACTGATGTATGCTGATTAATAAAGACATTTATTATTATTATTATTATTATTATTATTATTATATGGACATAAATCAGAAAAAGAACTGTTGAGAAAAGTTGAGGCTTAAAATTGTCGTACGAAGACACATTATTCAGTAATCCAATGTTTCCACAGGGTGTTCGGAAATTTAGGGCAGAATGCACCTTTTAGTTACATCCTGTACAACAAAATTTTTAATTTTTTTGAAAGATCAACAGTCGATAATGATGGAAATGAAATTACCTACAACTTGACAAAAAAATTAACGAAATTGATGCAAAGGTTAAAAAGTTATTCAAAATTTGGTTTGAAGAAAATTTTGTTTTACAGAAATTTCATATACTTACAGATTGCAATCACGTTGGCAAGATGTTAAAAAGTGATAATGATTATTACATTATTGAATAACGTTTATCTAAGGTATACAAAATACCTTACTTTGTTATAACCTATAAACGGACAGACCTTTCCGCTAGACTTAATACTATTTTGACGTAGTATTCTGTCACTTGACGATAATTGAAAACGCAGCTGTTGTTCCCAGACATTGGACAAAAAAATTTGCTCGTAGTCACATTTGACGTCTTAAAGCCCTTGGTAGTAGTAATGAATAAATCTACTACCAAAATTGGCCAAATTTCATTTCATCTTTAACTAACGGTTAGGCCCTTTCGGTTCGGATCAATTGTTTTACTTGACGACCAGACGAACATGGAGATTTATCATCATCAAGATCTCAGGATAAGCTTCGAATGTTACATCAACATATATTTTCTCAAATATCTTCAAACCATTTTGCTCATTGTTTAGGAAATATCTTGCGTAAAGCATACCGTTTTCTGGCTAATTGTGATTGAAGTTTGTGCGGCTACAACACTTCCATGCATACCTGAGAAATATATTAAGAAGAATTACAAATATCGTTTACCTCCTAGTATTGAACTGATGAAGTAAAGCACTATTAAAATACTCCCCACCACAAGTCAACAAGCTCACTTCACTCCACTACACAAAAATCTCCAAAATATCGACGTTTGCAACGAACAAAATCTCCGCTACTCGAAATAATCACAATAAACCCTGATCACACTTGATATTTGGTCCATTTTTGGGAATCCGACCAAAGAAAAGAGTCAACATCTGAAGTGTCCACATAGGCAACCTTGAGTCGTTCAACCGCACTAATTTTAAACGGTTCAAATGGATGGCTTCCTGCCACCGATAGCTCATGAGATCCATTTCGTTATATTCATTCATTGTTCTTCGCTTAAGCTGAGCAGAGTGCGAGGCTTGCACGGCTGCGACTGACCAAACCATAATCCGCAGTTATTTATAAATAACTATGACAAGTTTAACATTTGAAAAACTCCCGACACCATCTTGAAAGAGTAATGGGTGGGTCAATTCTCAATTGTGTGTATCAGTTCCTAAGTGATATGGTAAAACTTAATGATATATCTCAAATAATTTATTCAAGAAAAGTTTATATGAGCACATGCCCGCAGTGGTGTTGAATTTTTGAGAAAACATTTTTTTTATTTTATATCTTCGAACTGCTTTAGATAATATTTTTATTTTTGGTATGTTCTACGAAGACGCAAAATGAAATGTATTTTAGTAAACAAATCCCAAACATGTCTTGTGATAATTAAAACGCCGCTAACATTTTTCAAAGTGAATATTTTATATAGTTATCTTGATCATTTTTACATAAATACCCCCTCTCTTACTGTTGTCTCCTCAGGTGCACCGTTTATGATTAAATCGATATAATGGTAACTTTCTTGTAGTACGCACGAAAATACCTTTTAAAGACAAATCTATAGTTAGCCTAGAGATAACATTTGCCAGTGACGCCACTGGTAACACACCATAACATAACTTTTCATACTGAAATATGTATATCATTTTACATCATCTCATGATGTTAAAATTAAAAATAGTATTTAAAGTGCGTTCGAAGATAAAGAATAAAAACGACATTTTCTTAAGAATTTACAATCTCGCAATAAAAAATTTGAGCCATTGCTGAAACATATATAAACGTTTCTTCGTAAAATTATGTGAGGAATCATACCCTGGAATATAAAAAATATGAAAATATAGGATTGATGTACCTACTTTATTACCCCAAACTTCGGCTAGATAAGTTGACCTGTTCAAAATAAGATGGGGGGGGGGGTCCGTTCTGAAAAGCCCTTAATATTGTGTAAACATATATCCACACTCGTCAAACTCTTTTGTGGTAGGGCTTGAGATTGGATGAAGCTTTATAGACTTGCAATGCTGGAAAGCTTAGTTCGGGCTAAGAATTAATATTTTAAGTAGATAGCAGGAAGCAGGGATGGATTTGCATTAGTTATAGCCAACCTTCATCAGCAAAGACATCACTACAAGGTGAAGAGTGATCGTATCATATCAGAGCACACCGATGATAGTATGGAAAAACCTTGAGACCTGAAACATACTCGCTTACCACTGAGCTAGTACTTGATGGTTTTTCTGGCCGTTAAATGAAACCGCATATGCAGGATTGACCATTTACGTGACGTTTCGGCCATCTTTGAGGCCTTATTCAAAATGCAAATGGCAATATATTTTATATTCATTTGTCCTTCAAGTGATGGCTTCAGCCTGAACGGTCCTATACCACGCCGTGATGGCGAGATGCCATCATTACAATTATACAAAACTCAGCAAAGTTCAGGACTATCTGAGATAGGCATTCCGCTTCTAAAAGCAGTCTTTCTAAAGCGCCAAGAGAGCATGAGTTTATCTGTTTTTTAGATGTACCGCACACGTCACTTTCGCTCAGTGCCCCGAAAATACCAAGCGACTTCGAGAACGCTTAAAGCCACCCAGAACTGTTTTTGGAACACACCCACATGGGTATCATGTAAAAAACCTATAAAACACAAAAAAAAACCTATAAGATGTCATCTTGCAAACTAGGTAGTTTTTAGGGCGCAAACAGTCATTCCACGTTTGTTCACTAGGATCGTTGTGAGCGTCCATGTATGGAGGAATCACTCAACTAAACTAAACGCATTACTGGTTGCATATGTTTTGTGAGGCCAAATGGTTCTTGTCTGTAGTTTTTATCTCTGAGAAGAAAGTTGGTTGAATAGCAAGATCGCATCTGGATGATTATGTGTATTGGTCTGCATGTGTATAAAATCAATGATGTTTGCTGTGTGAGAAAATAATTACTGAATATGCTGCCAATGAAGTATATCTATTGGCTGTGCCCGACGGGTTATTTTGTGTATGTTGTGCTTTCTGAGGAGAGGTTATGTTCAAAGTTATAAAATACGAAAAACTGAGGAGAATTACGGGAAATCATCAACGCGCCCGCGTTGTGTGTAATTACTGTCAGCGTGTATATGGCTTGTAATTCGACAGTGTACAGTGAATATAATTATTTCTTATCTCCCTCATTTTTGAAAGTCAGCAAATTTGTATATGTAATTTCCAGAATGGATAAGAAAAAGTGGATGCATAAATAATTTCTAGCTTTGAATCTCAATTAAGTGTATTTGAGACAAGAACCCAGTGTAATTATCATCAACACATACAACTTACAGCTTAGACCTCCAGTAATGCCATCTCAGAAGCAGATTTTACATCACGTCAGATCCAAAGATTTATAACAAGCCTCATGACGTTTAGGCAACACGTACAACTAAGTGCTAAGTTAATATCTTGTAGAAAAACCTACGTAATGTCAAAAAAAACAGCATAATGTCAAAGAAATCGGCTTTATGTCACTTTTCAAGTTACGTGATACCCGTGCGGTTCACTGTTATGCCATTTGCGACCACTAATGTTGCAACCTTATTGTTCATGAGTCCAGAATGCAAGAAACGGTACATCTCAAGGGCACCATGTAGTTTTCCCAGTCGTTAGGGCCATTTCTACCACTATAGGGTGTATTTGGCTGTTTTTCGCAGATTTTTTAAAAATGGTATTTAATGCTTATAGCTTTTTTCCCGCATGGACGTTTGTGAGAAATGTCCTCTCTGTTTTATCGAAGGAATGTGTGATTTCAATTTTATAGGACTTCTCCCATAATGTGACTTTTGAATACAGCTATAAATAACTAATATTATGTATAGGTTTATTCAATACTAGATTTATGCGATTAATATAGTATTTTCATAAGTAAAACTTATCGGACAGGTTGTTATGTGATGAGCTCAAAATAATGTTTCCTCTGCAACTGATGGACATTTTGCGGCATATGTCACATAAGCTGAAGAAATATCCAACCCGCCTTCATCATCGTCGTAGGTGGTAGATGGTCTCTGACTGTCGAACGCGGAGGTACCACCCGGCGGTTCTCGTAGGCGGAGCAAGAATGTGTGCATGTTGCATGCACACATGTTCCCTCGCCAGAGTCCGTGTGGCGTTCCCCTTTCCCCTGTATCCCCCTATAGCCCCACGGGTGTTTAGGCCTTAGGCCTTCGTGGTAGTAGGAATATAAAAAAAAATCATGGCAATAATTACGGAGCTAAAAATTGAAAATTCAAATCAATCAGTTTGTGACCGCCGTCTTTTATTTGAGCAACGCCATCTCTATACAGGACGTGTCCCTCTCCGATATTTGCAATTGCTTCATATTACATATTTTGTGTGAGTGACCCAGTCACCCATATTATGTTCCACCTTGTCTTGTATCGCACCATATCCTGTATTGAAAATCAAAACACCGCTATTGAACACACAGCAATCAATTATTGTCAATTATTCAATTAATTATCCTCCAGTTGGACCCTAATCGATCAGAGAAGGGATAACCACAACCTGAGACCCGCAAGTTACAGCAACATATTGATTTTCCCTCTACCGTCATCCCATTAATTTTTCATCTTCTGGCACGCTTCTTGTGCTAATCGGTGCTGAGCCCTTCATTCAAACAGATTTCGCTATTCAAGGGCTGTTTGTTGATCACCTTCTTAGCAACCGCATCTGCTAAGTTTGTGTTCTTGACTGATATGGGTTGTGTTGATTTTGATACTTATGTGGAATTTGAGGGTTGGTTTATATGAGTTATGGATATACACCTTCTAATTTTAATGGTCCAAGTTTATGAGAACTTGTGGCAAGCAAAGTTATTTTCTAAGGATACAGAATACATGGTATTTCGTACTTGAATGGATATACGAGTAGCGGATTAGGATGTAGTATCGACCAACGAATTCAGACTGGGTAGAAGGATCCAGTCAAAGGTTTGTGTATCTCCTAATTCTAAAGTTTGTAGTGTGAGTCAGTTTTGAGAGTTTTATTATCAAATTCATATATTTACGAGGGTGGTCCCAGAAGTACCCGGCTTGACCTAGAGATGGCGGTAGTTGTTTGTAAAATATCATTGTATTAGAAAGTAAGCAACCTATAACGCATATGTGTCAAGTTTGAAGACGCCACGTTGTTTAGTATTTGTTTGTGAAATTAGAGAAAATTGGCCATCGTTATGTGGTACAATACTTTTATTTCAAAGGCCTCAGCCCAACCAATATAGAAGCTGAACTGGATTCTACTCTGGGTGAGTCTGCTCCTTCGTTTACAACAGTAAAATATTGGGTAGCAGAGTTTAAACGAGGCCGTATGAGTTGCCAAGACGAGCATCGCAGTGGTCGACCAAATGAGGTGACGACCCCAGAAGTGGTGAAGAAAATTCGCAAAGCGGTACTGAATGATCGTCGACTGAAAGTGCGCGAGCTAGCAGACATGGTAGGCATTTCAAAAAGTGCAGTTCATCGCATATGATCTGGAAATTTGGACACGAGAAAGCTGTGTGCAAGATGGGTGCCGCGATTGCTCAAAATCGAGCAAAAACAGTGTCGTGAAGATGTTACAATTGAGTGTCTAGCGAAGTTTCACAGCAACAAAGCAGAATTTTTGCGTCGTTTCATAACCATGGATGAAACATGGGCCCACCACTTCACACCCGGGACAAAAGAACAATCAAAACAATGGTCTCGAAAGGGACAACCGGCTCCAAACAAAGCGAAGACCGTTTCATCTGCAGGCGAGGTTATGGCGTCGGTTTTTTGGGATGCACGTGGGATAATTTTTATCGAATATTTTGAAAAAGGTAAAACTATCAACGGCGAGTATTATGCGAACTTATTGCAATATTTGAGCGATGAAATCAAGCAAGTGTTGTTTCATCAAGACAATGCGCCAGCTCACAAATCCGTTATTGCAATGGCCAAAATTAACGAATTAAAGTTTGAATTGCTACCTCATGCATACTATTCACCAGATTTAGCCCCCTCGGATTATTTTCT